AGGGCCTGATGGCTGGAAGACACTCCGAAATCTCCTGTGTACACAATAAGGTCTGATGACCACATGAATGAACGCTGACTGGAGAAGCTTGGAAATGAGGGAGAGACTGGTGGCAGATGTTAAGAAAGCTGCTAGCCAGGAGAGGCCACACATTTAAGAGAGACTCCATATACAGTCTGGAGGAAGACGGAAGTCAAGGCCTGACTTGAGATTTCACAGAATTTAATAGTGTTAGTTTCACTTCCTACAGTCAGTAGGAAGACAGAAGTCAAGGCCTGACTTGAGATTTCACAGTATTTGAGTGTTAGTTTCACTACCTCCTACAGGGCCTCAGCTGTTAAGAATGGGCCAGGGAGTTGTTTAAACTGTTCCTTTATACTTTGGCTTCACAACAATACCACTGAACTATAGACTTAAAAATGGTTAAAATGGTAAATTTTATGTGAGGTACATTTTACCACCAAAATAAAGGCTGAAAATTATCTACACTGTTTGACTCAGTAATTCCACTTCTGACCATCTATTCTAAGGAAACAGTGACAGAGATTTGGCCAAAAATATATGAATAAAACATTTTCCTCAAAGTGTATTTAGAATAATGAACAATTTTCAGTAACCAAATATCTGATGACTTGGGGAAGAGTTAAATTACACATAGCCTCTATGAATATTTTCTTTTTTTTTTTTTAAAGATTTTATTTATTTATTTGAGAGAGAGAATGAGATAGAGAGAGAGCATGAGAGGGGAGAGGGTCAGAGGGAGAAGCAGACTCCCTGCTGAGCAGGGAGCCTGATGCGGGACTCGATCCCAGGACTCCAGGATCATGACCTGAGCCGAAGGCAGTCGCTTAACCAACTGAGCCACCCAGGCGCCCACCTCTACAAATATTTTCAAAGACTATTTAGTGATATTGGGCAAATTCTCATTAAAAGTTAGATGAAAGAAACTGGCAATAAAATTCAATAAATAATATCCACAAATAACTTATATTTTTATTAAAATAATTTATAAAATATATTGATAGAGGAAAGAATAATATCAAAGATATTGAAAGAAATCTCAAAATTTCTCAATGGAGGGATTGTGCTTTTTTAAAACACTTTACTGAGATATAATTTACATACCATTAAATTCACCCATTTTAATTGTATGATTCAAAGATTTTTAATAAGTTGTGCATCATCACCATAATTTAGTTTAGAACATTTCCAGCACTGTAGGTGCTCTTTATTTTTCTTCATACTGGTTAACCTACTTTGGGAGAGAAATTATTTTTTAGAAAGACAAATTCATATTACTTTCCTAGGAAATTTAAGCAAAACTGAAAAGTAGTACAATTTAAGGTAAAACTGAAAAGTAATATAATTTAACAAGAATAAAAATTATTTAACCTCTTTTACTCAGTATTGTTTAGGATTTCAGGACTGTTTTCTAAGACAATCATTGGAATTGCAAACAAAGATTTATATGTAAGGGTGTACATCATAGCTTTTTTTTCTTAAAGATTTATTTATTTGAGAGAAGAGGGGGAGCACAGAGGGAGAGGGAGAGACAATCTTCAGCATACTCCCCACTGAGCTGATCCTGGAGCCCAAGAGTCAGACACATAACCAGTTGAGCTACCCAGATACCCCCATAGCTTTGCGGGTTTTTTTTTTTTGAAGATTTTATTTATTTATTTGTCAGACAGAGAGAGAGCACGCGAGTGAGCACAAGCAGGGAGAGCAGCAGGTAGAGGGAGAAGCAGTCTCCCCACTGAGCAAGGAGCCTGATGTGGGACTCGATCCCAGGACCCTGGGATCACGACCTGAGCCGAAGGCAGATGCTTAACCAACTGAGCCACCCAGGCATACCTATAGCTTTGTTATTGATACCAAAATTTAGAAGTAATTTGATTGCCCAACAATAGAAATAGTTCATTTATGATACATATCTAAGATAGCCTCTATTAAAAATGTTTTCCAAGAATAATTAATGATTTAATGCTGAAGACAAAATGCTGACATAAAATGCAAGATAGGTATTATGAATATGGTATGATTTCAATTTTGATAATAATATAGTCCATTACAGTACATACACACAGAAAAAAAGGCCTGGAAGAAAAGGCCAAAGAAGTTGTTAACATGACCTCTAGGTTTTGAGATCATTTTGCTGCTGTTATGCAGTTCTGAATTTTCCAAATTTTCTAAGATGGGCATGAATGACTTTTCTATTAGAAGACATTTTTTTTTAAAGATTTTATTTATTTATTTGAGAGTGAGAGAATGGGAGAGAGAGAGCGTGAGGGGGGGAGGGTCAGAGGGAGAAGCAGACTCCGCGCTGAGCAGGGAGCCCGATGCTGGGCTCAATCCTGGGACTCCAGGACCATGACCTGAGCCGAAGGCGCATGTTTAACCGACTGAGCCACCGACTGGATGGCTCAGGTCATGATCCCAGCGTCCTGGGATGGAGCCCCGCATCGGGCTCCCTGCTCAGCAGAGAACCTGGTTCTCCCTCTCCCTCTGCCTGCCGCTCTGACTACTTGTGCTCTCTCTGTCAAATAAATAAATAAAATCTTAAAAACAAAACAAAACAAAACATTTTTTAAAAGACCAGGTCAGAGGACTTAAGAACACACCCAGGACAGATCTAGAGAGGTGGATCTGAGTATCCATTCCCACTTCAGCCTTCCTTGTCCAACATAGGCAGGGTACATTACATAGAGACTGTCCTGAATTGTTAAAGATTCATTAGAGTTTTAGTGTTTTGTGTTTTGTCTGTTTGTTTATTTACTGTCAGAAATTAAAAACAAGATAGATCAATTAGTCTAAATAACAGTGTGATACCTTTCATGGTTTCCATCCCAGCATCTCTCTCATCTATAAACCCTGGTAAGTATGAATCAATTCAAATGTAAAAGACGATACATAGGAAATTAGAAGTATTAATGCTATGGAAAGGCAGAGTTAGATCAAGAGACTTCAGTTTAACCAGACATCATAAAAAAAAAATGTGAACCCCTAATTTGTTCATTTACTGAACAGATACTTTAGGTCCTAAGTGTGGGGTGGGGATAGGGAGAAGTGTCCCAGGGGAAGGCTCAGCATGTGTGAAGGCCCTAAGGACCCAACTTGGAGTTTTGCCAACCTGGAGAAAAAGCCAGTATGACAAGGGCAGAGTGAGAGAGAGGTGCAGGAGGAGGCTGTGGAGAGAGGCCAGGCCTTGAACCATGGTAAGAAATTTGAATTTCACTTGAAACATAAAAAAAATAAGTTTACCCAAGCTACAGTGTAGAGGAACTTAGAGGCAGGGAGGAGCAGAAGTGGGAGAGGAAGTTAGGTCTCCGCTGATGGGGGCCAGGGTGACAGAGGAGATGGGGAAAGTGGGTTGATTGCACCTGCTGTGAGGGAAATGCTGATGGCCAAAGGGGGTAAGATGGGGAGAAATCACAGGTAGCATCCAGTGGCTTGAGCAGCCAGCAACACCCAGCAGCCACTTACCAAGAGGAGAACAGGGGTAGGCCTAGGTTGTGGATTTGGCAAATCTGGGGTGCCTGAGGTACACACATTGGGAAGGCAGTGGTCATTTTGTCCTAAATTAGGGGTGGTCCTCATATAGACTTCCTTCAAGGCCTTGAAGAATGGGCACCATTGCTCAGGCAAGGAGACTAGAACGGGGACTCCAGCGTGGGAGAACTGGGCATTCCAGGGGCAGGTGGACCTGAAGGAGGAACACGAACTCTGGGCACGTGGTTAGGAGGCTGGGCCCTGTAGGTTCCTGACAACTACCTGCCTCACTCAGTCAGACCTGGGAACCGCTTTCCATGAAACACCACCTTATTTGGGGGAACCTATTAGAGATGACTCCAGTTTTTAAAAATTGACAAATAGCTACTGTGAATTAAATCCAGTATCCCACCATTTATTAGTTTATTGTTGAATACCTATAAATGTCTTTCCATTCAAAATATGCCTATTTTTCTTAGAAGTAATTCTTTTTTATATGTGGGAAAGTATGACAATAAAAGAAATTAAATTAAAATACAGATATGTTTCCACTTAAACATAAGTTGTATATTTTTATTACTAATTGATCAATTTTTTCTCTAGAATGCCTTAACAGAAACCCACATAACTAATCAAAAACTAATGATGTAATGTATGGTGATTAACATAACAATAAAAAATTATTTAAAAAAAAAAAGAAAAGAAACCCACATAACTAATGGGACTAATGGGTCTTTTTGACTTTATAGAATTATATATAAAAATCTGTGGTTTCACTATCACATAATATTTATTTTTAATTTAGAAATAAATGCTTCTATGTTCTTAAACCTCACACTTGATCTGTAACTGAAATCTATACATTTCCATTAAGATGTATAGTATGAGCCTATACCAAAGTATTTTGGAGTACCATAGTATCAGCCATAAAACTAGAAATGATTCTAAAACCAACATACTTATTGCAAGTTTGATCACTGTTCAATTTTTGTTAAAAATGATTGCAGTATGTCTTTGTAAAATAATGCCCAGCTTCCCACAGTTTGCATGTAGAACAATTTTGAATTCACTGTCATTTATATTCACTGAAAAAAGAATCCTTTATTTTATTTTTTTTTCACAGACTCACCAGAATTTTATTATAATGTGGTTTATTTATTTATTATTTAAATTCAGTTTCATTAACATACACTGTATTACTACTTTCAGGGGTACAATTTAGTGATTCATCAGTTGCATCTAACACCCAGTGCTCCTTACATCAAGTGCCCTCCTTAATGCCCATGACCCAGTCACCCCATCTCCTCACCCACCTCCCCTCCAGCAACTGTCAGTTTGTTCCGTATAGTTAAGAGTCTCTTATGGCTGGGGTGCCTGGGTGGCTTTTTTTTTTTTTTTTTTTTTGAGGGGAAAAAGCCTTTATTGATAAATAGATTACAATGAAATAAATAGAGTGACGGTATGTTGGGGAATAAAACCTCGGGCAGGATCTCCGTGTCTCCACCCCAGCTCTAGCTTTCAGCCTCCGCTTTCCTACTGGCCAGTTTGGACGATGAGGCCTTGGTGGGCAAGTCCAGCCTCCTTGGGCCCTTGGGGGCCTCAGTCTTCCTGGCCAGGGGTTCAGGCACCATCTTAGACCCACCAGCCCTGGGAAGAGCAGCGGCCTTGGCTTTGGGCCCCACCTTGGCCGCATGGGGAATGACCTCTTTAGGGACGTGATTTTCCTTCTTTTTGGCTGGAGAAGTAGTACCCTTCTTGGCCTTGGGGACCGTGGGTTTTACACTCCGACTCCCAGCTTTTGTTTCCCTGTGGGCCTCACCACCCTGGCTCTTCCTTCTGCCTTTGACCTTTGACTTCCCACTGGGCCCGGTGGCACTGGGAGGGGCCCATGTGGCCTTGTCTGGCTGTTGGGAGGCCTTTCTGGCCTCACTCGCTCTTGCCTCTTGGTCTTTGGTTGGGCCGCCTTTCCTGGGAGCCTTCTCCTTGGCTGCACCTGGTTTGGGAGGAGCCGTCCTCACCTCTCGCAGCTTCCTGGGTCCCCTTTTCACCTCGCCTGGGTTGGGAGGGTCCTTTGCCTCCCTTGGTTTCTTGGGGACCTTCTCCTTGGCCTCACTGGGTTTCCTGGGGGCTGTCATGATGGGTGTCTTCTTGGGTTGGACTTTCCTCTTATGCTTGGGAACCAACTGGCTCTTCAGACTCAGACACCCGGGACGACCCCACTGTGGAGGGCAAGGAGGTTGAGGACGTTGAGGAAGTTGAGATATCACTGGAGGCAATGCTCCCAGGAGCCATTGCATACGCAGACGCAGATGCAGATTGTCAGACCCCGCCCAAGGCGTGAGCTTTTTTTTTTTTTCCACCCCCTGACGGCTGCACAATTACGCATGTCTCCTATGCACTGCAAGCCCCATCCTGCCTCTTGTTCTCTCCTACTTCTCCAACTGAAATGTGTGTTGACAAGCTGTACGTGTGGACACAAAAGGTGTTAAGCATCTGATTCTTGGTTTTGGTTCAGGTCATGATCTTGGGGTCTTGGGATCGAGCCCTGCACTGGGCTCTGTGCTCCACGTGGAGTCTGCTGGAGATCCTCTCTCTCAAATAAATAAATAAAATCTTTTTTTTTTTTAAAGTCTCTTATGGTTTGCCCCTCCCCCCATTTTTATCTTATTTTTCCTTCCCTTCCCCAATGTTCTTCTGTTTTGTTTCTTAAATTCCACATATGAGTGAAATCATATGGTATTTGTCTTTCTCTGACTGATTTTGCTTAGCGTAATACCCTCTAGTTCCATCCATGTCGTTGCAAATGGCAAAATTTCATTCTTTTTGATGGCTGAGTGATATTCCATTGAGAATCCTTTAAAACTATGACTTGACTTTTTCCTACAGGATGACTGTAAGGATCTTCGCAAATTGTACCTTCTGTTTGAAAGTCAAGCACTTACCTCGTCAACAGAAGAAAAAGCTACAAAATGACATTAAGGAGAATGGTGGAAATTTTTCGTTTTTATTAAATCCTCAGGTATTTGCAAATTTTCTAAGAACTGTGTGATAAATACTGTGTATTAAGGGAGGGTAGGTCAGGGCACTTGGCTGACACAGTGGGAAGAGCATGCAACTCTTGATCTCGGGGTCTTGAGTTCAGGCCCCATGCTGGGCATAGAGCTTACTTAAAATAATAAATTAATAACTTTTTTTTAAAAGGGAGAACAGGTCATAGTTAGAAGGGTAAGCAGAGAAAATTGGCCACAGGAGAAAGTCACTGAAGGCAGGTGAAATTGTGACATCGTCAACAGGGAAGTTGGGCTGGAGAAAGGCAGAGGAGGGAAAACCACACGTCCCACCTTCTCTCCATTACACCTTGTGAATCTGAGGTTATTAGAGTACAGCTGAAGACCTAAACAGAAATAATTTCAGACCAGCCAAATCTATTTTCAAAGGAGAAAAGTAATGGTGTACAGCATTTGCAAAAAGCAGTCTATCTAATCGCTCACCAGTATGTCAACCCTGAGCGTCACCGGTACAGTGTGACTCAGGGGACAAAGAAAAACGTGTATCGTAAACTCATCTTGTACTGCTTGTACAGCTTGTACTGCTTGTTTTGTTTATTTAAAGGCCGAAAGAAGCTACTTTCCCTCTCTTGAAATGAATTGTAAGCCTGACAGTTTAAGATTGGTGGCTTAGCCTGCCCCTTCCTGGACCACACCCCTGGGGCTTGCTGACCGTGAGTCTGGTTTGTTCTGTGAAGTATGTTCAACTCCAGCTAGATCCTGGGTGCTCTCTGGCATTTAGTAGTTTGCCTGTGATTATCAGAGATGGAATGTCCCTGTTCACCTCCAGTTTAGGCAGAACTGTATATACATCCCTTATTATACGGCTTTCCTCACTTGCCTGTTTCACCATTTCTATGGATGGATGAATAATTCAGGCCGGTTATACCTTCTCAGTTTATCTTCTGGGTAAAGAATGCCAACATCGTCTCTCATTTTCAGAAATTCCCACATACTGTGAGTGTAAACATTTTGGAAGTTATGTTGCCAATGTATATAAACTTTTGAAATGTGCATACCAGGTATTATAATGGAGACAGCTATGTATATATCGTTGAGGAATGAGCTCCAAGATGAATTGTTAAGTGGAAAAGCAGGTTCAGAACAGCATGTTTAGTACGCTGCCATTTGTGACTAAAAATAGGGCTGTGTACTTATATGTGTGTTGCCTATGCATAGAATAGCTCTAGAAGGATATTCCAGAAACAAGTTACAACAGATGCCTCTGGGGAGACGAACTGGAAACAATGGTACAACATATGTTAATTTATTATTATTATTTTACTTTGTAGATATTCTACAATGTGCATATACTATTTATTCCAAAATAGATTAGTAAAATTACAACTTAACAAATTAAATAAATAATGGATACCTTTTGAATCTCTTGTTCCACTCCTAAGAAAACAATTAAACAAGTGTACAAATATGTGTACATGAAGATGTTCAGCACAGCATTGTTTAAAGGAGTGAAAATTTGGAAATAACTTCTAGGGTTGGTTAATCAATTATGGTATATCCCTACCCATATTCTTTAAAAACTGTTGATTTTTTAAACTTTTATTTAACTAAAATTATTTGTAAGAGTTTTAGAAATCTGAGAAAGATTACTATCAAGACTTTTAAAGGTGGGCATTCTAGGGGAAGGAGGCAAGATGGCAACAGAATAGGGGACCTCGTTTTATCTGGTCCCTTGAATTTAGCTGGATATCTATGAAACCATTCTGAACACACACAAATTCAGCCTGGAATATATATATCTGGAACTCTACAAGCAGAAAAACGATTGCTTTTTGCAAGGTAGGAGGTGTGGAATCGTGACTCTGTGGGGAAATATCTGAAGATAAACGGAGTGGGGAGGGACCCTCCATAAGCCAGCTGCCAGAAAGTTTTATAACACTGGAGTGCAAAATCAGAACTCAGAAATCTGCTCCAGTGAGAGACATCCCTTTCTTAAAGAGGCACAGGGGATGAAAAGAGCAGAATTCTAGGTGGGTCATTGTGGTCTCAGGATCCCAGGAAACACAGAAAGAATGGGGGTGCCTGATCCGATAGAGTGCCCAAGCAGTGGAGCGGGGAAACTGGTTATGGTCAGCGAGCCCAGAAGGGACTCTCAGCTCCGGTCACCATAAACCATGAGCCGGGCCGATAGGGAGACTGCTGTTTTCCTGAGCACCCTAAAAAAGACTGGAACATGCGGGCTGTTTAACATCCTCTGGGAGAGACAAAATGGTTGTGCCCACAACTGGGCAACAGCTCTCAGGATGACAGTGGCCCCAGAAAGGAGAGTAGGATGGCATCCAGCCATTACCTGGGAGCAATGGAGCAGGGTCCATGCATGAGGCCACAACCACTCAAAGTCGCAAAGACACAAAGTGCAGTGAGGCTCTCGGGCCCCTGGGACGCCCCCAGGGAGAATTGAAGTGGGCACGAATCGCCAGATCGTGTGGGGTGTGGCACACAGAGAGGCTGTGCCCACGACTGGGCAACAGCTGTCAGGGCAGCGATGGCCCCAGAAAGGACAGTGGGACAGCACTCAGCTGTGACCTGGGAGCAGCGGAGCAGGGTGTGCATGAGCCCACAACCGCTTGCAGTCGCAAAGACACAAAGCAAAGTGTCACTGTGGGGCACCGGGGTTGCCCCCCCGGAGAATTGCGGTGGGGATGAACTGCAGAGTCTGTAGGTTTGGTGCACACAGAAGTGGAGATGGTTTGACCTGGAGGGTTTGTTGAAGAAGGGGGACCATGATCTTGCGGTTCTGGGCCAGAGATCCCGGCATGGCCATTTTTGCTCTGACCCTCTGAAGAAGTGCGGAAAGCCACCAAGGAACAAAAGCCACATGGACGACCAGCTCACCTTGAGCCCATCCCCCCTCCCCCAGAAGACAGACCTAAGAACAGGTGGATAACAAGCTTATGGATCCCACAGGACTTTAAAACCCCAGAGCCAGGGGAAAATAATATATTGAGCTCCAGGTGTTTCCTCATGACTCGTTTATCCTTCAGTCTAAAATTTTACATTTCTTTTTTTTTTTTTATCTTTTCCCTGTTTCAACTAGATTCTTATTTTAACAACTTATGTTTTTAAGTTGCTTTTTAACTTTTTTTCTCACATCTATATTTTATAGATTTATGCCTCATTCTAGTCCTTTTTTCACTCTATCCAATTTTATATATGTATATAAACTTTGCTTTCCTTGCAATTTGGGGATGTAGTGTCTTCTAACACAGAGACCAAAATTCAGTCAGGAACAAAATCACCTGCTTTGTGCACTCTGTGAGATTATAGTCTGTCTCCACCACCCCCTTTTTTTTTTTTTATTGTTTTGGTTCATCTTGCTTTGTTTGCTTTTCTATGGTGGTGTCTGACCTCTTTGGATTTTTTCTAGGGTGCATTTTGCTTGGGTCGTGGTTGCTATTTTGGACCCTGTTCATTCACTCACCCATTGTCCTTGGGCAGAATGACTAGAAGGAAGAACTCTCAACAAAGGAAAGAACCAGAGACAATGTTCTGTGCCACAAAGCTAATCAATATGGATATAAGCAAGATGTCGGAGATAGAATTCAGGATAGCAATTATAAAGTTAAGCGCTAGGCTTGAAGAAAGCATAAATCACAATACAGAATCTCTAAGGGCGGAAATGAGATCTAATCAGGCTGAACTTAAAAATGCTATGAATGAGATGCAGTCTAAATTGGATGCTCTACCAGCTAGGGTCTGTAAGGCAGAAGAGAGAATAAGTGATCTAGAGGACAGACTGATGGAAAGGAAGGAAGTTGAGAAAAAGAGAGAAGAAACAACTAATAGCCCATGAGGAAAGGCTTTGAGAATTTAATCACAGAGCTGGAACAAACAATCCTAAAATTTGTGTGGAATAAGAAAAGACCCCAAATAGCCGCAGTAATGTTGAAAAAGAAAACCAAAGCTGGAGCCATCACAATTACGGAGTTCAAGCTGTAATCATCAAGACAGTATGGTACTGGCACAAAAACAGACACATAGCTCAATGGAACAGAATAGAGAGCCCAGAAATGGACCCTCAACTCTATGGTCAACTAATCTTCAACAAAGCAGGAAGGAATATCCGATGGAAAAAGACAGTCTCTTCAATAAATGGTGCTGGGAAAATTGGACAGCCATATGCAGAAGAGTGAAACTGGACCATTCTCTTACACCATACACAAAGATAAACTCAAAATGGATGAAAGACCTAAATGTGAGATAGGAATCCATCAAAATCCTAGAGGACA